AGAGAGAGAGAGAGAGAGAGAGAGAGAGAGAGAGAGAGAGAGAGAGAAATAAAGGTAGTATTTTAAAAAGAAAGCAGCTCATTGGTTAAGAATACTGGCTGTTCTTCAAAGAACCCCGGTTCAATTCCCAACACCCACATGACAGCTCACAACCCTCTGTAACTCCATTTCCAGGTGATCCAACACTGTTTCCTGGCCTATGTGGGCACTAGGCACCCACGGTGAACATATATGCATGCAGGCAAAATACCCACTTACATTAAAATACATAGATCTTTTTAAATTTTCGAAGGAAAAAAAAAAAAAAAGGATGTCCCAGTGGTTAAGTGCAGTTGAGGCTTTTACAGAGGACCTGAGTTCGGTCCCCAGCACCCACATGGTGACTCACAACCATCTGTAACTCCCGTTCCAGAGGATCCATTACCCTCTTCTGGTGTCCACAGGCATCACGTACATACATGGTGCACCTACATACATGTAGGCAAAAACACGTGCAGATTTTGCCATCTGCCCTTCACTCTGGGAGAAGGACAGGAGGCTAGTTCATGGGAGGGGCTGTCATGGAATCCTCACTCCATGGTACAGGGTCTGATGTGCTCAACACAGCGCCTGGCTCACACCGTGTGCAGTCTCAAAAGAGCAGGTGAAATGTCTCTTTTCCAAAATGCCTGATGCCAGAGATGGTGCACATCAGCGGTATCTTCTCACACTTTGAAGTATATATCTCTCCTCAGAGATACTGGCGGGAGAGGGGGGGATGAGAATCGGCATGGTGACACACGCCTTTAATCCCAGCACTTGGGAGGCAGAGGCAGGTGGATTGCTGTGAGTTTGAGGCCAGCCTGGTCTATAAATCGAGTCCAGGACAGCCAAGGCTACACATTTTGAGAAATCCTTTCTTGAAAAACGAAAGAAAACAAAATAGAGTTAGCAGGTCCCTCACATATGTGACACGGTGAGAATTCTATATGATTTCTTCAGTGCCTCAGTGTGTTTCTCAGCAGCTCATCACTGGAGGTCAGGTGTAGGATTTCTCACCTGGAACCCAGGCTGCTGCGGCTTAAAATGTTTCAGATCAGGGGCATTCTATTCACTATGGGTTGTTCAACCTGTATGGGTAGTAAAAGTAGTAACAGTGTTTGCTGTTTAAACTGAGGAGGTGTTAAAATATTTACAGAAGCCAGCAAACTGGCTCCGTGGGTAAAGGAGCTTGCTGCTGAGCCTAACAACCTGAGTTCAATCCCCAGGGCCCACATGGTAGGGAGAGAGAACCTGCTGTAAGATGTCCCCTGACCTCTACGTGTGCACCCACTCACCCACGTGCACACTCATGCTCACACACACCAAAATGCAATATTTAAAATTTATTTTTGCCAAATGTGGTGATGCATACCTTTAATCTCAGCACTTTGGAGGCAAAAACAGGCAGATCTCTGTGAGCTCAAGGCCAGCCTGATCTACAAAGTGAGTTCCGGGCCAGTGAAGGCTACACAACGAGACCCTGTTTTTGTTTGTTTGTTTGTTTGTTTGTTTGTTTTCTTGCTTGTTTGTTTAAAACACAAAAATCATTATGTTTAGTGTTGACAGAAAGCTTAAAGTCTGTTGGACTGTGAGTTGACACTGAAGGCTCTCTTGTCTCTGTAGGAAAGAGCAAGCAGATTGACATCTGCCGTGGTCAGCTGGCAGTGGACATTCACTAGGGCCCAGTGTCGTCCAGCTAGTTGGCCACTAGGATGGGGTTTACATGCAAAGAGCCACTTAGATGCTGGACTGAAGGAGGGCTGAACCCAACACAGGACCCCACCGCTCTGGGTCCTCTGTCTGGAAGGACAGGGGAAGCCGCAAGCAACACTGACTCTGGTCTCCTTCCCTCTGCCCCCAGCTGCAGCCATGGGAAATGCGTGGCCACTGGCAACTCATACATTTGCAAGTGTGCCGAGGGCTATGGAGGAGCTTTGTGTGACCATAAGAATGACTCTGCCAACGCCTGTTCAGCCTTCAAGTGCCACCATGGGCAGTGCCGCATCTCAGATCAAGGGGAGCCCTACTGCCTGTGCCAGCCTGGCTTCAGTGGCAATCACTGCGAGCAAGGTGAGTATGCTGTCCTCCTGGGTCAGAGGACCTGGAAAAGAAGCAGGGCTCAAACAGCAGCTGATTTTCCCCCAGAGTAAACCAGCAGGTAGGGAGGAGGAAGCCATGTGTGGTCTTGAATGGCAGAGAAGCAGCTCGTACTGCCACGTCCGGATCATTGTATCAGTTTCATTGCTAAGGTGTTGTAAAAGGAACTTTTATTCGCCTGGTTCGGTTGTTGGTTACTCTGTCTGCTAACCAAGGCCTAGTCCTGGAAGCTTCTAGCCTCCATACAATCTAACCTAGGCCTAAAATGTTTTTAGCCTCTGAGACTTACTGCTTAATAAGCTCACCCTTGCTAGTTCTTTCTGAGCTCCGGGCTGGCTGGCACAACACAGCCGTTCTGGCTCAAACTCCTCTCCCAGCTAACTTAGTCAATCTGTCTTCTCTCTTTGCCCCCGAGTTGCTGTGCTTGGCCTCAAACTAAGTCAAGCAATCCGCTTTAATCTCCTGGCTCCTTCTCATTTTCCAGCTCATTCAGTCTTCCCCCATGTCTAGCTTGTCCTCTCTTCAGCCTGTCTCTGTCCTGGTAAAAAACTGTCTCCCCTCTCTCTCTCATTGCCCCTTAAGTAGCTTCCCTTTCCTCTCTCTTCTCGTGAGAGTTTGGGCGTATTCTATTCTGTCAAGTCTTTCTCTGATTCGTCACCTTTTCTGCCACATCACTTTCAAACATGCTGCTTCCTTCTACAAACTATCTTTACCTTCATTGTTCGAAGGCCTATACCACCACACCTGGATCTAAACTTTTCTTTACCTGAAACCTGCTCTGTACGAGGCTGGCCTTGAGCTCAGATCTGCTTGCCTCTGTCCAGCTGGATCACACAGACCTGGAAGGTCTTTGGTTGTGATCTCTTGCCAGAGCAGCCATGATCTGAAGTAAAACTCCTCTAAAAGGTGCATTCACCAAGGAAGGTTACTGTGTAGAAGATATAACAGGAGATGGGGTAAAGGGGTCGTTGTAAATGGTTGCTGCCTGCCATGCTGCCTTGCCGGGGTTCTCGGAAGAATCTAGGCCGTGTAGAGTACGTGGTACCTGAGACTGTGCTAAGAGTTGGGAAGTAGAAATGTAGAGAGTGCATTGTCCATGGAGGCCAGAAGAGGGCATCAGATCCCCCAGAACTGGAGTTAGAGGTGGCTGTGAACTGCCTGGGTGCTGGGAACTGACGTTGTGTTCTCGGTTCCTTTAGTAAAGCAGTAGCGCTCTGAACTGCTGAGCTATCTCTATGGCCCCAAAATAGGACTCTTTTTTTCTGTTTCTTTTTATTATTATTATTAATTACAGTTTATTCACCTTGTATCCCAGCTGTAACCTTTCCCTCATCCCCTCCCAATCCCACTCTCCCTCCCTCTTCTTATCCCATGCCCCTCCCCCAGTCCAATGATAGGGGAGGTTCCTCCTCCCCTTCCATCTGACCACAGTCTATCAGGTTTCATCAGGACTGGTTTCCTTGTCTTCCTCTGTGGACCAGCAAGGCTGCTCCCCGCTCAGGTGGAAGTGATCCAAGAGCCAACCCATGAGTTCATGTCAGAAATGGTCCCTGGTCCTATTTTTGGGAAACCCTCTTGGATACTGAGCTGCCTTAGGCTACTTCTGTGCAGGGGTTCCAAGTTATCTACATGCATGGTCCTTGTCTGTAGTATCTGTCTCAGAAAAGACCCCTGTTTCCAGATTTTTGGTTCTGTTGCTCTCCTTGTGGATCTCCTGTTCCCTCCAGGTCTTTCTATCTCCCTCTTCTTTCATAAGATTCCCTGCACTCTGCCCAAAGTTTGGTATGCATCTCAGCATATGTTTTGATACCCTGCTGGGTGAAGTCCCTCAGAGGCCCTCTGTGATAGGCTCCTGTCCTGTTCCCTGTTTTCTCCCTCCTCCTATGTCCGTCTCATTTGCCCTTCTGAATGAAGATCGAGCATCATACTCAGGGTCCTCCTCCTTGCTCAGCTTCCCCAGATGTACATATTTTAGCATGATTATCCTATATCATATGTCCAATATCCACTTATAAGTGCGTATATACCATGTGTGTCTTTCTACTTCTGGGATACCTCACTCAGGGTGATCTTTTCTAGATCCCACCATTTGCCTGCAAATTTCATTATTTCTTTGTTTTTAATTGCTGAGTAGTATTCCATTGTTTAAATGTACCACAATTTCTTTATCCATTCCTCAACTGAGGGATATCTGGGTTGTTTCCAGCTTCTGGCTATTACAAATAAAGCTGCTATGAACATGGTTGAGCAAATGTCCTTGTTGTATACTTGAGCATCTTTTGGATATATGTGTAGGAGTGGTACAGCTGGGTCTTGACGTAGCACTATTCCTATTTGTCTGAAAAAGCGCCAGATTGCTTTCCAAAGTGGTTGTACAAGTTTACATTCCCACCAGCAGTGGAGGAGGGTTCCCCTTTCTCCACATCCTCTCCAGCATGTGTTGTTACTTGAGTTTTTGATCTTAGCCATTCTGATGAGTGTAAGGTGAAATCTCAGGGTCATTTTGATTTGCATTTCTCTGATGACTAACGATGTTGAGCATTTCTTTAAATGTTTCTCTGCCATTCGATGGTCCTCTATTGAGAATTCTCTGTTTAGCTCTGTACCCCATTTTTTTAAATTGGGTTACTTGATTTGTTGCTGTTTAACTTTTTGAGTTCTTTATATAATCTGCATATTAGCCTTCTGTCAGATATAGGGTTGGTGAAGATCCTTTCCCAGTCTGTAGGCTGTTTTGTTCTTATGACAGTCAGTATCCTTTGCTTTACAGAAGCTTTTCAGTTTCATGAGGTCTTATTTATTCATTGTTGGTCTTAGAGCAAAGAATTGTATGTTAAAGAGATGAGGGGAGGGGAAAAGGGAAGGGGAGGGAAAAGAAAAAACAGCTAGGAGTCCATGTCCCTGATAAATATGGAAGCAAAAGCCCTCGGCTTGATACCCTCATTTTGGAGGCTTTTATTCTGCATAGACACTGACAAGCTCTCCCTGACACCAGCATCCAGGCCACACCCTGACACTCATGGACTCTTACATTTCACATCTCAGTGAGACACCCCTAACTAAAGCCATTCGTGAATCTGAAGTGATCTTAGACTCACAGTCCTATCACAATGGGATCAGCACCCCTCATATTCCCTTCACCCCAGTTGTTGACGCCGCCATTCTTGTGCTTCCCCAGTACACACACATGCACACCCACACGCCCATCATCGCCTTTCTCTTTCCAAATCCTTCTAGAGCCCCATTGTTTAAGAGAATTTTTGCAGGTGGGATCCAGTGCCTGTGCGTCATACTAAAACACACAGCCCATTAAAAAAAAAAAAAAAAAGTGCTGATGCTTTTTCTTCAGTCGCTTCTGCTGCTCACAGGAGGCCATGAATCAGAGGGAGGAGGATTGGTACATTCGTCATGATTTTCCAGGCAGGGAAACTGAGGCAAGGGATAACAAGTGATTGGCCGTGAGGCTGCGGATTCTACTTTCCTCCCCCAGTGTCTGCTTTGCATTGTGTAACTGTAATTTTGCTGCTGTTGTGAATTGTAATGTCAATATCTGTGTTTCCCAGTGGTCTGAGGCGACCCCTGTGAAAGGGTCATTCGACACCCTCCCCACACACACACAAAGAAATCACGACCCACGGATTGAGAACCACCACTCTAGGTCACGGGAGACAGGCTCCTGGGAATGGTAGGGCCAGTCTGGGACAAACTGGAGCTTTTCTGCCCTTATCCAAAGCTCTTAGCGCCATGTGCACCATGGCAACTCGGGGAAGCAGGCTGAGCTCTGCCAGACCTCCTAAATTTCAAAGAAGCCAGAAGTCCAAATTCTGCAATGAGCTCAGATGTCTTCAACGTTAGTCTTTAAGCACATTCAATCAGTCAAAACCTGTCTAGTAACCACAGTTTGCCAGTCTCTTGGAACATGGAAGACTAAGCCCAGTCCTGCCACCAGGATCTCCTTGGGATTGATTAAAGCCTTGAGTTGAGCCTGGCACAGTAAAAGCACATCAAATTTGTAGAATTAGGGAAGGAGGGAGGGAGTGAGAGAGGGAGGGAGGGAGGAAAGGAAGGAAGCAGGCAAGCAGACAGGAAGGAAGGAGGGAAAGAAGGGTAGTTGGATGGTTAGGTAAGCAGGTGATGTGAATACTTGCATCTTCAGATGGCAGGTATCTCCTGACAGCTGAGCAGGGAACCACCTATGGTCCCTCCAGACCCCTCACCATGGCCAGGGCTCTAACTCTACGTGTCTACCCTCTTCAGAGAATCCATGTATGGGGGAGATAGTCCGCGAAGCCATCCGCCGCCAGAAAGATTATGCCTCCTGTGCCACAGCCTCCAAGGTGCCCATCATGGAATGCCGAGGGGGCTGTGGAAGTCAGTGCTGCCAGCCGATTCGCAGCAAGCGGCGGAAATATGTCTTCCAGTGCACTGATGGCTCCTCCTTCGTGGAAGAGGTGGAGAGACACTTGGAATGTGGCTGCCGTGCGTGTTCCTGAGCCCCCCTGCCATCTACCCAACCACCGCCTCTCAGACTCCAGCTCACTGGGCAGGGGACAGCCCAAGCAGAACCTCTTTTGAGATTCAGAATGAAGGAGAGAAAGCTGGAGAGCAAGAGGCAAAAGAGAGAATATTAAGTATATTGTAAAATAAACAAAAAAAAATAGAACTTATTTTTATTATGGAAAGTGACTATTTTCATCTTTTATTATATAAATATATCACACCGTCTGAGTATATGTACTATATAGTGCGTTATTTTTACCAAGTTTTGTTTTGTGTTGTGTATTTGTTGTGTTTTTATAAACAGCTGTTTAAATTTCTAAGACAAAAAAAAAGACTAATAAAAATGTTTTAAACAAAAGGAGAAGAATAGAGAAACGAAAGCCTGAGGCAGGAAGAGGGAATTTTATGTGTATGTAGCTCTCTTCAGTCAGCACAAACGAGAGCTATTTCTTGAGCTGGCTTGGAAAAAAGGAAGAGAGAAGTGGAAGTACTTACGTTGTTGTTTCTCCATGGCCTTCACTCCTCTTTTACTCTCTTCCTGGTAGGCAGCAAGCTTCCTACTCTCCTGGCTTTCTAGGCCCAGTGTGTCCCCTTGCTTCCTAAAGGTGCTTCTGAGCCCTGCAAGCCTTGTTGTACTTCAGAGGAATTGCTGTCCTTGCCTATCATCTGACCCAGGCTTCTGCAGGATATGAGCCCACTGGGAGGCAGAGGCAGCGGCCCCTGGTCTCCTTGAGGGAGTTGAAGCAAACTTTAGTGAGTGAGCTGGGTCCGTTCTGCCTCTCCCCACAAAGCCTGTCCTCTGAGAGGAGATGAAGAAAGAGGGAACTGGGAAGTCTCCCCAGGTCCCAGACACCCAGCCCTGCCTTACAAGTCCTCTTCTTTCCAGCGAGTTTCAATACCAGAAAGCAGGCAGCAGGACTGCCGGAGAGCAAGACAGGAAGCTGCATCTCCATGGAAGCCCAACAGGCAGGCTCTGGCTTCTGGTCTTCTAGAACACCACCATCTCAGTGGCAAAGACCCACTGCTGAGGAGCAACACCATCCAGCACGTGTCTGAAACCTAACTTTATCTAACCCCTACTTTCTGGTGCACTGAACCCCATTTCTCAACTAAAGACACTCAGGCCCCTTCGCTTGCCTTACTCCTCCCTCTGATGAGTGGAGACCCAGGCCTGGAGTGCAGAGTCAGACTCGAGATTCCCCTCCAGAACGAGCAGACACAGGAGACAGGCAGCAAAAAAGCCCATCAGCAAAAAAGAAAGCAGATGTGTTGCCAGCTGCCTTTCCTCCTTGCTCTGTTTTCTTCCATCTTCCTTTCTGTCTCATTCATGTCTAGAAAATTTCTAGAGTCAGGGACTCGGACATCTAGGAAGCATTGTTGTCTGGCAGATGCTGGTTCCTGAAGGCCTTTTCTGACCTCCCACATCCTTCCCCCCACCCCCCCCCCCCCCCCCCCCCCCTTCACAGCCCTCATCCCTTAGCAGGAGTGGCCAGCATCTCAGCTGGTCGAATCCACCCTTGGCTGGGCTCTGCTCATCCATCCTTCTTTCTCCCCAGCCTCCACTGGTAGTCTCAGGAGGGAAAGTGTGGGACTTTCTGCTCTGAGGGAAGGACCAACAGTAGGCCGAAGACTCAAAGGGGAGAGAAGGGAGAGAGAAGAAGGTAGAGGAACACAAGGCAGGAAGAAGGCATGGAGGGAGGGTAGAAAGGATGTAATAGAGAGACTTCTGAGCAAGCATATGAATGTGCATCGTGTTCCAGGGAGGGGGGGTTGTACCTTATGACAGGTTTGTTGAAAATGTCCATAATTAGATTTATGGGGTGCTCGCTACAATATACTCAGATGTCACTCCAATTGCAACCCATATATTTATATATTTATATGCACACATTCATTTAATTCTCAAAACAGCTCTATGTAAGACTGTAACTAACCCACTTTACAGTTGAGTAAGCTGAGATAGAGAAAGTAAGGACCTTGCCTAAGAGCAGATGGCTAATAAGTTATAGGAGCAAAGGTTTGAGCCCAGACTGTCAGAATCCAGAATTTGCTCACTTAACCACTATCCCACACTACTTCTTGTAGGAAAGAAACACTGTGCCTTTAAGGATCCTACAGTCTGGAGCAGGGACAGTCGTTAAATGGACAGTTGTTTGGTCGTATTACACTGATCTTGGCCAAAAGGCCAAAAAAGCGAGAATTGCTTGAGATAAATAAATATATAGAGACATGCATTTCTTAATGATAGTATAATGAGGGAGAGGGGATTTCCAACCCTGAGTCTATCGGTAAGGTAAGGAGTTGAACAGCTCAAGAAATGGCCCAGTAAAAAAAAACAAAACAAAAAACAAAAAAACAAAAAACCAGTAAAATGGGGAAAATCCTAGAATGTTTGGTGAACAGCCAGAGGCCCGTGGTGGCAGCAGCGTAGGATGACGTCTGTAGATCCACAAGAAATGGGGAATGTGAAGTCAGGGTCTCTAGGCCCCCCCCCAAAAAAAGCCACATGGCTAGGCCACAGAGAGCCAGGGACTTGGTATGATCAGGGCAGTAGCAAGGAAGTCTGATGGTGGGCTAGAACAGGGGAGATAGAGGCACGCCTGGATGAAGAAGTGGGCTTTATCACTCAAAGGGGCCTCGGGGCTCCTAGTAGTTCACTTTGTGGCTAGCACCAACTAATGTCAGAGTCTCTGTGATAACTCAGGGACTCAGTCGTAGAAGGGGTGTCTTGGTATGTGCCCAGTGTCCCTTCCTGTCCCTCCAGTCCACCCATCCTCAATAAGGGGCCTGGTCCTTATTGCATTACCAAGCCCTGCAACTTTGGGAGGGGTTACTGGGCTACAAGCTTTCTCTCCATGGCCATAAGGACCCTGAGGCTTCCCTCTTCCCTCTTCCTTTCACCCCCTGTGCTCATCTCTGAACCCATGTGAAGTCAGCCAAGGACAGAAAGGCCGAGTTCTGTTTTCAAGTATGGCTTCAGAGCCTTTTCAACTCTGAGTGGCCTGACTTTACAAAATGCCAAGCACAAAGACCATCAAGAAAATCGGCCCCAAAATGAAATTTCTCTAAAAAGGAAATTTAGAGACTTTTGCCTTGAAAATGTGTACCAGATTCTAGGACCAGGAAAAAATAATAATAATCCAAATGCAGGAAAAGGTCAGTCAGTTTGCCCTCTGAAACATAAGACTTAATATTTGTGGGAATGTGCACATGTAGAAGGCTCCATCTCCTCTGTTACTCCCTGAGCAGGGTCAGGAGACAGAGAGAAGACCCCCTTTGGGCTCACAAAAGGGGGCCTCCAAGTGGTTTATGAAATGCAATACCTGAAAGCTATGTAAAGTAAAGCCCTGTAAGATGTAAGATGTTGAGAATGTTGTTGTCACTGATGTTACTGGCATGCCAAATAGCCATTTTTAGAAGAAAACTTTGCCTTTTCCATCTCATTGCAAGGAGTCTGATATTTCAAAAAGTGAAGTGGGGGAGGGGGAAGGCTTCCCAGGATCAGCAAAAGAGAAGAGAAAGGCTCCCAGGAGAACCTCAAAAACCCAGGAATGACCGGACTGGGGCTGAGCCAGCCTTGCCTTTTCCAGAGACAAAGATATCCCCAGACAAGCCCCTAGCCACTGCTTCAAAGATCCACAGGATCTCAGGGAGCAGAGGTGAAGGGACCCTTGAGTAAACTGCAGGTCATAAAAAAGGGTCAGGGAAGTGACATGATATCTCCCACCACTCAAAGCTTCCCAGCTGAGCCACACCTAAAGGCCACGAGGCTCCAAGGGTCTGCCCAGGCAGTTCCTCTTGCACCACAGGGTACACTGTGACAAAGCTGATCAGAGATGGAAGCCAGTGGGACCCGTTAAGGCAGAACTGGCATTTGGCAAAGCTTATTTCTCTAACTCAATAGATTCTAATAAGAAAGAAAAATGTTTTTTTTTTCATTAACAGTGTTACAGTGCCACTTCCTCATTATGAAGTAAATAATGTGCATTTCTTGCTTCAACATTCTGCCTTCTTCTAATGTCACTTAAATAAATAGATGTGTCACAGGGGAGCCCACGGTGCTCTTGTGAATGCATAATTCAGCCTTTCTCTGTAGTGTGTGCTTCATTTTTGCCCCTGACTTTTATACCCTGTACGGCACAGTATTACATTCATGGGTTTTGGGTATACCTGTGTGGAATTAGTAGAAATGAACTAATTTCTTAGACCCTTAAGTAAGAAAACTGCACCTAGAATTCCCATATATATTCCCCAAGCCCTACATATATGACTTAGGAGCTCCAGGATCTATAGGAGATGTGGCTTGAATAGCCACGAACTGGATGCCAAGGGTGATAGTGAAGGAACCCTCTCATGTTCAGAGTAGAGCCCCCCAAGGCCTATTTCATCCCTTCTTCTACTCATTCTTTTGTTTTGGGGTTCTTTTGTGGTTGGTTGGTTGGTTGGTTGGTTGGTTGGTTGGTTGGTTGGTTTTTGAGAGAGAGTTTCTCTGTGCCCTGGGTGTCCTGGAACTCTGTAGACCAAGCTGGCCTCGAACTTACAGAGAGATCTGCCTGCCTCTGCCTCCCCAAGTGCAGGAATTAAAGAAGTGAGCCACGGCTGCCACGGCCACCACCACCCAGCTCCCCTACTCGTTCTTTCACCAAGCATATAATACATACCAGATACCATTCTAAGCAATAAGGATTCCAAAGATAGAGAAGGCCAAGTCCTGTTGTGGAGTCTAAATGTTAATTGACAGGGTGAGTTGTGTGCCAGTCAACAACACCTAGAGGCACTGATAATAGATAACCATAATCGCTTAAGATAACAAAGTGGGAGAAAAGTAACAGAATGACACCCACCCCAGAGAGAGCAAAGTAGGCCTCCATGAAGAACTGAAAATCAGGACACTAAGAAATGGAAAGATAAGGAAAGTGACAATGCCACACATGCCAGTCACTTCCTCTCACGAGGATATTGTCTATGGGCAGTCATAACCCAAGCATCTCATAGGCCAGAGATGGTGTAAGCAAACCACCCACCTCTCTGCCCTGGGCACACTTGAGAGGCTACAGACTTCCCCAGTGAGGACGCTGTCAGAGGCCAGCTGAACCCTATATCCTTGGCACAGATACTATACCACCCTTGCTGAAATGCCATCAAGAATAAGACACTGAGCCGGGCGTGGTGGTGCCTTGCCAGATCAGGAAGCAGAGACAAATGGCTTTCTTCATTCTATTCTTTCATTCAGCCGAGGCTTACAGACCATGGGATGGTGCCTCCTACCTTAGGATGAATCTTCACTAGGTTACATCTCTCTGGAGATATCTCACATGCCCAGAAGCGTGTCTTCTAGCTGATTCTCATGACAATGAAGATTAACCAAGAACACACATGGGTGAAAGAAATGACTCTTCAGCAAACTGCTGGAGAAAATGGTTATGCAAAGGCACCTATTCCTATTTCTTATCAACTACCAGAAATGAATTAACAAAGGATCAATGAGCTCAATGTAAGACCTGGATCTATTAAACTACCAGAATAAAACATAGAGAAATTGTTTGAGAACATGAATGGGGGCAAAGATAATTCCCAGAGTTTAGGCATCACAGCAGATAGGCAGGTGGGACTGCAAAGCTTCCGAGGAGCAAAGGAAACAGTCAACAGAGTAAAGAGTGACCCACATCTCTTAGAAGCTGGGAAGTGGTGGCGCAGGCCTTTAACCTCCCCACTCGAGAGATGGAGTCAGGAGAATCTCTGAGTTTGAGGCCAGCCTGGTCTACAGAGAGAGTTCCAGGACAGCCAGCACTACACAGAGAAACCCTGTCTTGAAAAACCAAAGGAAATAAAGTCTCTTAGAATCAAGGAATCGTGGCTATTAGAGGCTAGAGAGAAAAGGGGATAAAGGGGATGAGAAGAGGTTGGTCAATGGGTACAAGACTATTTTAGAGGGATAAGAAAAATAACATCTAGCATTATTCTATTGCACTATAAAATGGCTAAAGTTAGTAACAATACAATGAATGCTCCCACAGGCATGTGGGAGGGTTTTGAAATGATAAACACGGAAGGTGATTGATATGTTCATCTGTCCTGTGATCATTATACAATAAACTGAAATTCCCCTATAAAGAAGTACAATTGTGTGCCAATCCAAAATAAATTTTAAATTTAAAATACAGTGAAAAACATAACTTCATTAAAACTGGAGGTGAGGAAAATAGAGAGACAGAGTCAAAACTGAAAGGAGAGGATGGAGAAAGAATGGCTACTGAATGTAGCCCTGAGTCCTGGGATGAACTATTATTAGCCAAAGAGGCATTTATTCACCTTTCATGTGTGTCTTGGGTGACCTCAGTCTAGTGGCCTTACTTTGGAAGTGGTTTCGTCTTCTTGACCCGTTTTGTAAGAGCTAACAGGGCAGAAGAGCAGTAGGTGGAAG